GTTGAATGGTAATACATACGAAACTCATCTAGAAGAACCTATTGGTATATGTTAAGTATTAGTTAAGTATCGGGATGTAATGATGGAGCCCATTGAACGTCTGTATAAAGAAAAGCAAATCTTGTCGGCTAGAGCTATTTGTTATATAAATAATGATAACCCTTGGGTACCAGTGAGGTTATTCAATGCAAATGATTATGATGTCTTTGTTTATAAAAACACATCGGTTGGTGACTTAGTTCCAGTAAGAGTGGTTGAGACTGAGAGAGTATCCCAAACACCCAATATTTGCCCAGAGTTACCACCTCATGTTCTGGACTTGTGAGGAGTTGGATCGAGAGCAATCTAGGCAGATCGAGCACTTACTTACAAGACATCATGATCTGTTTGCCTCTTCGTCTGCAGATCTTGGAAAAACAGGACTTGTGAAACACACAATAAATGTTGGCCACGCTGAACCAATAAAGCAAAGACCCAGACGGGTGGCAATTCACCAAAGGATAGAGATGGATAAGATGGTAGAGGACATGATGGCCAATGAGATTTTGAACCATCAAGTGGGCCCTGGGCTAGTCCAGTGGTGTTAGTGAAGAAGTCTGAAGGAAGTTTGAGATTTTGTGTGGACTATAGGAAATTAAACTCTTTGACTGTTAAGGACGCATACCCCTTACCCTGTATTGATGAGACGTTGGATACACCGTCTGGTGTTCAGTGGCTGTCGACCATGGATTTAGAAAGTGGCTACTGGCAGATCGAGGTGGACCCAAGTGATCGACCAAAAACCTCGTTTACAACTTTTAAAGGCCTTTACTAGTTTAAAGTCATGCCCTTTGGTTTATGTAACGCACCAGGAACCTTTGAGAGGCTAATGGAATCTGTTCTTCAAGGATTGCAATGGGAAGTTTGTTTGGTGTATCTTGACGACATAATTATTTTTTCGAAAATAGTGTTTAACCGATTACGAGAGGCTGGTCTGAAACTGAAGGCTTCAAAGTGTTATTTGTTTCGTGATGAAGTGAAATATTTAGGACATGTTGTGTCAGCTGATGGGATCTCAAAAGATCCAGCCAAGATTCAATGTGTTAAAACCTGTAAAAGACCTATAAATTTAACCGAAGTGCACAGTTTTGTGGGGTTGTGTAGTTACTATCGGAGATTCATTCCACAATTTTCAGCTATAGCTAAACCTTTAAATAGACTCACTGAAAAGGGTAGAGAGTTTATTTGGGCAAAAGAGTGTGAGGAAGCCTTCAATACCCTTAAGCACAAACTTACTGAAAGTCCTGTTCTGGCGTATCCTGACCTAAACAAGCCTTTCATTGTGGATACTGATGCTAGTGGTTATGGAATTGGAGCTGTGGTGTTTTTGATGGAGTAGAACGTGTCATAGCTTATGGTAGTCGTTCCCTCACTAAAGCTGAGAGAAATTATTGTGTTACGCGTAAAGAACTTTTGGCCGTTGTGTACTTCGTGAAATACTTTAAGGCCTATCTCTATGGAAAATAATTTACTCTCAGAACAGATCATGGAGCATTAAGGTGGCTGTTAAACTTTAAAAATCCCGAAGGTCAGGTAGCACGTTGGATCGAACAGTTAGCCCAATTTAATTTTGAAGTTATACATAGAGCAGGCCGAGTACATAATAACGCCGATGCGTTGAGTCGAAGACCATGTGTTCAGTGTGGAGTTGGTGATGAAAATACAGAAGAATGTGACGGGTTAGTAGGACTTATAGGTATTGATACTAATGTCATAAGGAAGATGCAAGGAGATGAAAAAAGAGGTTGGTTCCATTAAGACCTGGGTTGAATCGAGAATTAAACCAAAGTGGAGAGATGTATCTCCCAAGAGCCCGTGTGTAAAGAAAGTTTTAACAAAGTGGGATTCCTTGTTAATTGAAGATGGAGTTCTGATCCTGGAGCAAACTAAGTTTGATGTTGTATTGAAACGTGTTGTGGTTCCAGAAAGCAGACAGAAAGAGGTTTTGCACCTTACACATGACTTGCCCACAGGAGCTCATCTTGGAATCAGTAAGACAGAGGAGAAAATTAAACAAGGTTATTACTGGCCAGGGTTGAAGCAGGATGTACAAGATTATATAAATTCGTGTAAATAATGTGCTGCGATAAAGATGAGGAAGAGAAAGGCACCATTGTCCTCCTATGCTGCAGGTGCGCCCTTTGAGAGGATTGCAATAGATATCGTTGGACGGATTGATCCACCCACGGAGAGCGGAAACCGTTATATTCTCGTTATCTGTGATTATTTTACTAAATTTGCTGATGCTTTCCCAATAAAAGATATTGAGGCAAGAACCGTGGCAACTACTCTAGTGGAAAAGTTTATCTTGTCTTTTGGAATTCCAAGACAAATTCATAGTGATCAAGGCACACAATTCGAAAGTTCCGTGTTCCAAGAAATGTGTCGTATGTTAGGAATTCATAAAACATTCGTCGTTCGTACAACAGAAGGGTGACCATTGGGATACGTATTTACCATATGTGATGTATGCCTACAGAACCAGTAAACACGACACCTCTGGTGTTACACCTAATTACGCCATGTTTGGAAGAGAGTTCAACACTCCGCTCGTACTTCAGTTTGGTCGCCCACCACAGACAGTAAAAGAGCAACATGTGTGGAATAAAACTTTAAGGGACAGGCTCATCTTTTGTCACCAATTTGTTCGTGACCAGATCCAGGTAGAGACTAAACGTCAGAAAAACTATTATGATCACAGGAATGGAAAAGACGATCTGAAATCAGGTGATAAAGTGTGGCTTTTTACACCAACATTGACGCCCAGTATTCCCAACAAATTCGCGAAACGATGGAAAGAACCATTTGAAGTTGTGCGAAAGCTCAGTGACATAACGTATGAGATTGAAGATGGTACCTTCTAGACGTAAACAGGTGGTTCATGTAGATGGGTTAAGTATATACAACCAACGTGACGAAGAATCTGACAGTGATGCACCATGTGAACCGATAGACGACTTCCTTGATAGTGACGACAATGTAGATGCCGATAGAGATGCGTCATGTGAACCGATAGATGACTCTCCTGACAGTGACTATTGTGATAGTAATGTGGGTGGCGATAATGCGGAATCGTTAAATGTCCAGGGTTTTGCTCCTGTAACCTCTAGGTATGAAAGAGTACGCCGACAACCTGCTTATCTCGACACATATGTAATGTGTGTTTCTTCTATTCCAAGGAAGTTGGGCGAGGATGATGAGAAGAAGAAGCATGATAATAGGAAGATGGGCGAGAGGAAGAAGGATGATGAGAAGAAGAAGGATGATGAGAGGAAGAAGGATGAGAAGAAGAAGGGTGGTGATAGGAAGAAGGACGAGAGGAAGAAGGACGTTGGGAAGAAGGATGATGAGAGGAGACAGGATTACCAGAATGATGACCAGGTTGTTGAGAAGAAGCTTGACAAGAAGGATGGTGCGAAAAAGAAGGATGATTACAAGACGAAGGATGATAGCGATATAGATGATGGGAAGAAGGCTAATAGAGAGATAGATGACGAGAAAAGGGTTGATGAAGATATAGATGGTGGGGATAAGGATGATAGTGATGGAGAAGATAAAAGATTTAGAATGGAAGATAAAGGTGGTTTGTTGAGGATGATAAGGCTGGACAAAGAGTTGGGTGGTGCGCCTAATCTTAATTTCTCTTTATATAGTGATATTAGTGAAGAGAGTAGTGCAGGTGGAGACTCTTTGGAAACGTCGGGTGATGGTGAGGAAGTAGAGGAGAAAGAAGGAGGGAAAGTGGATAGAGCTACAGAGACGAAAGTGGAGACAGGGGAAACGGGGACGCAGTGTTGTATGGTGAGGTATAAGAAGATTGTGGAAGTAGAGAGTATGACGGAGGATGGGGAGAGCAGGACAGTGAGAGTAGAGACGGATTTTCTCGCTATATAAACACAAGCAGACGAATGATTCTTCAGAAAGAAAGAGAGAAAGAGATTGTGCTCTCAGCAGGTTAGAAATCTTTCTCTATGAGCTATACCCCGAAGGTCCCATGTGACTAGCTTTATCGGCGGTACCTCATTACCCAATTTTTATCGGGCGGTCCTTTGTGATTATTCTTACCGGTGTTAATTCTTTTATTCGGCATTTTCTGAATGATCCTTTGTGATTTGTGTTGTTCCAGTATAATTTAGTGCTTGTGTGGTATTTTTAACGTGTGTGCCACCCCAAATATTTTGGGCTATTGTGCATTGTTTTTATTATACGTGATTGTGATTTTGTGCCACTTTGTGAATATGACAGTGCTTTGGTTCGTGGTTCCTATTTTAGACCAATTCAATTTGTGTATAGGACTGTGCTATGTGATTCATGTTATGCAATTTGTGTCTCGTAGCAGCGCCCATTTATTTTTATTAACACCATTTTTCATAAAGTGTATTGTTGTATTTGAATGTAGATAATTGATATTTTCATATATAAAGTT